CGCTCCTCGGCGCTACTGGACCAACCCGGCAGCACCCCAGCTTCTCTGCCCCAGGTGTCCACAAGTCAGCCGCTGCTGATACTGATCAGCGACTGACTCCAGGAAGCCCGAGGCAAAGCAGCTCTGCCCCGGGCTTTCTAGAGTCAGCAGCTGGTCAGTTTCAGCAGTGGCTGAATCAGGACGCCTGGGGCAGAGCAGCTGGGGCGCTGCCGGGTTGGTCCCCAGACCTCTCATAGCCCCCCCTTCCGATAGTCTGGCATATCTGATAATCCGGCACCCCCTGGGTCCTAAAGGTGCCGGATTATCGGAAGTTTACTGTATATGGCATTATAAGGTTCTGTAGTTGTTTAATAATTCTCTGATACACTAACATCTATTAAAAGTACACATGCTTCAAAACATAAAAAAGAAAAGTTAATATTCTAAATCACCTTTTTAATAAAGTATAGGGCTATATCTTTTTTCTTTGGATGTATTTGCCTTCAATTTATGCAACAGGTGTGGAATGTTTCTTTAAATCTAATTTAAAGCACAATTTAATTGTTTTTACAGAGGCCTGCAGACAGCATAAAAACCTACCGAAAAGTGGATGGTCCCTCAATCCCTTCTCTAGGCCAAGCATTTGGATATGAAGAAGCTGAAGATGGCACTCTTGTTAAACAATACCCACCTCAAAGAGATGTGACATTGGGTCCAGCATTCTATCAACCAGTATTTGTAAGTAATTTTGTATCACTTTAATCAGAGTGGCCACAGGATTACAAAATAGTTTAAGGTTGATTTTTAACTCTAAAATGTTTTCATGGCATGTTTTCTCTTAAGAATGAAAAGTTAATGGTGTTGGTGCCACTATATATTTTTGGATGGCTATAAAGCCGGTTTCATGTTTGATGTAAATGGGTATATAAGTTGAGTGGGATCTACTTCATTATTACTGAGTTTGGCACAAAGAATTTTAAAAAATATAGATTTAAAAAGTTGTTGCTACTACCTCTTCCTGTTCCACCGGGCTGAAAAGGGAACATGAAAGTAGCCACTAGTTTAGCAAGCAATGCTGTAAACTAAAGAGTACAAGGGCTGCATTAAGAAGGAATGTGCCTGTGGGTTTGATAAACCATCATCTTCTGGACCCACAAGTTTCTGAAGACTTAAATATTTCTTTTTAAAATTGTGATGAATAGGAGGAGTGCTGGACAACACTTGGTGACTAAAGGGTTAGACCCCAGTAGCTAAGGGTGTTGGGAGGAGCCAGAAGAACCAATGGATACAATGCTGAAATTTTAATTGTAAATACCTGCTGCCATTTCTCTTTATATGCGTTTTTTGAACCAGAGGCTAAGGGGACATGATTTTTTAAATCCTGGTAGGACTACTATGCCTCCAATTTGGGGCATGGAAAGGGACTGGACTGTGAAGGGATATTGAGTAAATAAGGGGAAAAATTATATTTAGTCACAATCAGGGTATTTTTCTTTGTTTTGTGTTTGGTTAAACGTCTCTGTGTGGAATCCATGTCTTCCCTCCCCCACTCACCATATTTAAGCTATAGCACAAAGAGACAATAGTCTCTTTGTGTTTTGATCTGTTCTTTTCTTAGTTGCTCTGTAATACCTAGCAACCAAGTATGCTTTATCAAGTATGCCTTTTTGTTTTGTTAATAAATTAACCTTTTCTAAGGTGAAGATTTGATTCTTGTGTCCTGGATGGTAACAGGAGGTCTTTGTGGGTGCCTGCCTAGACTGAAGGGTCAGCTATCTGAACTGTAGTTTTTCCTGTGTTTTTTTGTTTCTTTTTTCAAGTTTTCTTGTGGAAAGAGCTTGCGGTTCCTTTTGGGAAGAAAGTCAAGCGTTCCTGGTTTTCACTTGATGGTGGCAGCTACCCCCCAAGGCCAGGGAATCTATGAACTTGGCAGGCTTTTAAACAGAAGCTTATTAGAGGCAAGATATATCTCCTGCGGGCCCCCACCTTCTGCACTCGGAGCACCAGAGTGGGGAATAGCCCTGACATATATAAATTCAATTTCTATCTCTTTCAGTAGTAAAAAATATCCTTCTGCATGCGAAGTTGAGGCAGCTGTCTTAATGGCCCACCACCAGCCGTCCTATTAGTGTAATCTCAGTATTTACCAGTTATCACAAAGAATTGTTGTGTGCTGCTAGGGAATGGAGAGCAGGAAAGACTGTCTCTCTTATACTCTCAGTGCATCTCCTGCTAGTGCTTGGGCAATGTGAAAAGGAGGAAGCAGCCACACTTGAATGGACAGGTTGGGCACCTCTTATCCAGCACCATTGGGACCTGACTGGTCCCAAACTAGGGAATTTGCTGGATTAGAGAAGGTTCCCTGCCACAGCCCCCAGTTGCCAACTCTGCCAGCTCCGTGTGGGATGGGAAAGCCTGGGGACTACCTCCAGCCCCTGACAGACTGCCTGCTGGGTTGCTGGTCCCACTGCCCCAGCTGGATTGCCTGCCATCCTCCAGCAGCCTGCACTATCGTGGGATGTCAGAGGTTCCAGCCCACTCTGCCGTGGGCTGCTGGAAGCTGGCTCTGGTCCTGGTTGGGCTGCCAGGGGCTGCTGAGGGCTTGGGCTATGGTGCCAGCTCTGCAGCAGCCTGTGGGCTCTGGTCCCACTTCTGCAGGCTGTCTGGGGCTCTGATGCCATGCTGCTGTGGGCTGCTGGGGCTGCCACCAGTCCTGGCCCTGGTCCCACTATCGCAAGCTGCCAAGGGCTTGGTCTCCTGCCCAATGGCAGCCGATTGGCTCCGGCCCCACTTTTGCGGGCTGCCCCTGGCTCTGGTCCCAGCCCTCGCTGCCTCACTGCTGGGGGCTGCTCCGACCCGGTCCTAGTGGCGCAGGCTGTCGGGGGTGCTGGGAACTGCTGCTGGCTCCAGTTCCACTGCTGCGGAGGGAGGGGTGCTGCTGCCAGCCACTGACCCTGATCCATCCCACTGCTTCTGCCTGGCCCCTGCTGGATTGCCTTCCTGCCACTAGGTTACCAGGGTTACCTAGGGTTGCCAGGTGTCCGGTATTGACCCGGACAGTCCAGTATTTTCGCTTCTTGTCTGGTAAAAAATTCAGAAAATACCGGACACCTAAAATGTCCAGTATTTTCTGTTTTTTTTCCCTGCCAGGAGGTAAAAATACTGGACACCTGGCAACCCTACGACACACTCAACAACTGGGCCCAGCCCCCGGTTCTCCCCGGCTCCCCTGCTTTCTGGCTCGACCAAGAAAACAAGATGGCCGCCGGCAAAAAGCCTAAAGACCCCAAGCAAAGGGAGGCAATGCCTTCCCTGGGTCTTAGTGCTCAAGCTCTCCCTATCCCTATCCTGACTCTGCATGCACTTAAAGGGGCCATGATGTTTTAATGCTGTGGGTTTTTTTTGCTTAACTCTCAGGGTCTTTTGTTTGTTTGTTTTGGCTCAACAACTTTGGTCTACCCCTTTCCCCCTCCTTCAACAGAATTGTTTCCCCAGTGTTTTTTTTGGGAGGGGAGAGAGGATATTCAGTATTTTTGGTTAAACCATCTGGCAATCCTACCGGGGTTCTCTGATCCAGGAACATCCGTGGTACTACTGTACCATGGATATTGCCGAATTAGAGAATTCCAGTTTTGGGAGGTGCAACCTGTAGTTAGATGAGGAAGAGGGGAGAGAGACAGAGCAAACTGGGATGGAGAAGACAGGAACAGGAGGAGAGGGAGGTAGGGACATATGGCAACAGACTGGAATGGGGCATTCCAAAATATGGAAGTAGGATGGGAGAAACTGAGAAGATGATGCCGAAAAGTCTATAGCCACTAGAGCACAGTCCCTTTCAGAACCTGGGATACTTGTAAAATTTTCATCATCTTATTATATGATTTTGACTTATGTTTGGAAGTTTCTCCTCAAGGGCTTGATCTTTCAATGTGCTCAACATTTGGCCCAAATCCAACAAAGCACTTAAGTGAATGTGTTACGAAAAGTATGTGAGTAGTCCCTTTGACTTTAATGAAACTACTTCCATACTTTAAGTTATAAATGTGCTTACCTCCTATGTTAGATCCACGGCAGACTACTCAGACTCTTGTATCACTGCATCTTAAAGTTGAAAGTTCATTCTGAAATTTAGACACACCAGTGCACATGCCTCTTATTTGAGGTTAATTCTTTTGTAAAATGATTTGCTAATGAGTAGCACTGTCTGGAGAGACATCTGAGGGAAGTCATGTTAATTTGTAATTTAACCCTGGATGATTACAATTGCTTATTATGTGCTGGAGATTGGGAAATGGCAGTAGAGAAACACTCTTGCAGTCCTAATCCCTGAAACACAAGAGCTTTTATGGCTGTTTGGTGTTTTCAGGGACTTAATTCCCTTTGGCATTATCATGTTTATTTTTTAAAGACTAAACCATCACTGTAAAACAAACAAACCCAGAACTCCTAGTATGGTCTTTAGTAAAATCTGGAAATTTTAATGATAAAGAGACATGAATCTAAAATAAAAAAGATAAAAAAAATTGGTACAGCTCACTAATAGAGAAGTGGCATTTCTGTTAGGCACCAACTTGCCTGTCTTAATCATATTGCTTACCTGTCCATCAGAGACTCTACCTTTTCTTTCCCAATAGAATGCCAACATACAGTCAGATACTGAAATAGGGTTAAAATTTTCACAGATTTCATGGGAATTTAGTTGTACTATTTCCATTAATATTCATGAAAATTGCACATCCAAAACACTGTTCATTTGCAAAAAATGTTTATTCGAACTCCTTATTTCTTAAGTATGCTATGACTGTGATCTCTGGTTCTTTTAGTTTTAAGCCAGGTCCCCCCCTCCAAGAACCAGCTTCCGCCTACCCTTCCCCCCTGCCTGTGGGAGGCATCAGGCAGGGGACAGGCAGCTCCACAGGAGCCAGCATGCATGGGGAGCCAGCTTAAATGCAGCTCCCCAAGGATACCGCCTCCCCTTTGCTGCCTCTGATAATTGTAACCCTAACTCTGATACACAGGCAGCAAGGGGTGTGACATGTAGTCATTAGGATTAACCGATAACCCCAGGCTTATCAATTAATCATGTAAACAACTACATGCTAACATCTCTAATGAAAGTTAGACTGAACTAACAACGACCAAGGTTATATGTTATACTGACAAATTTTTTCGCAAAAACAAAACTAGCAATACAGATGTATATAAATCACTTGTTACTTAAGTTAGCTCATCTGCAAAATGCATGTGATGCACAAGTTTTTAAAAGCATAGGATTGAAAGAGCCCTTAGGAAGTCATCCAGTCCAACCCCTGCTAAAAGCAGGACCAATCCCAGCCTGGTCGAGCACTAGATTCAGCGCTCTTGTTTTTAAGAGGTTTCTTGAAGCTTTTCCTCTTTTGTTTATCTTGCATACATTTTTGCTCATTTCAATCTGTTGTTTGTGACAAGGTGCTATCAGCAGCATCCTAATCACTGACATTGCTGCAGACTATAGAGAAGATTGCAAGGCCAACTGAGGGTAATTATACACTTTCTGTTGGCACCTGTGAGCACCTGGGTGACAATCATTGGTCTAACAAGGTAATTGGGGGAGAATATAAAATAAATGGAGGAAATAGGAAGCAAGGGAAGCTCAGAATGAGGCTCAGAGGATGAGCCAATGCTGGGGAGTGAGGGCTGCAGGGAAGCCTGCTCTTGCTATAAGCCAAAATTTCACTGCATTACTACATATGTAAAAG